AAGTAGCTTAAATTAGCTGTACATTATTAGCCTTAGAATACTCACCGAGACTACAGCGGCACTTTTCCTGTCGACAGTGGAGACGTTGAGGTGTTGATAGAGGAACTTCCCGTAAGCCGTGTTAAACACAAGTCCATCGGACGATGCACCCTTAACACCATACACAACTCTAGGTACATCCTTAGTGCACAGCCTCTCATCGGTGCAACTTTCTAGATTTATGTTCTGAAATTAAACCACACAATCTTTTTATTTTTAGATAGTGTAAAGTATTAGACTTATTAGTCCTCGTTTTTTTTTTAATGTGAAATTACCTTGAGTTGATAAGCCATTTCAAGCCATTCAGGATCAATGTAATACCAAAAGGTTTCCTTGTTTGAACCTTTAGGTGTATATTTCTTGATCTTTTGGTATTGCAAACTACCCAACTTATTTTCTCCAGCTTTTGGAACATTGTAGTCTCCAATTCTCAGTGATGGTAGCTCATTGGAAGCTTCTGTTCTACCTTCATATTCCTGATGATGATCGTCCAAAGAAATTAATAAATGCATTAGATCTATATATGGTTTAAAAAAGAAGGAACAAATATATTTACTTAAAATATATTTCTTATTAAGTTGATGAAAAGGTAAATAATGGGACCTCATATTGTATATATATCGGTAAAAAAAGTTACTCGAATATGAAACATATAAAGGGACGGATGGAGTATTTATATAACACGGAGGAATAACAAATGTAGTTTGTGATTTTCCTTTTCAATGTGCTACGTAATTGTTTAAGAATGTTGAAAAGCTTTACTAGTATACCATCCAAGTCCAAGCACTAGAAAAGGCAGTTTCACCAAGCACAGCAACATCAGCAACTTTCAATGAAGGGCTAATAGCAGCACTGTTTCCTAAATCGATGACCCCTGTGATGTGGAAATAATCGACTAGGATTTGAACTGTTGCACTAACATGAGCCTACAATTACAACAACGAACATAGCAAAATAAGTTAAAACTAAAATACGGAGTAGTAACTTTATAACCAAAACAGTGAAATTAAAGGTATAGTACTAAGTAATTCTTACGAGTGGAGATTGAGAGACAACGTAGACGATAGGAACACCGTTGAAAGTACCAATATTGAATGTTCTTCCGGCTATTTGCATTGAAGAAGTTTCGGGTGTAGGGACGTACAAGCCTGAATCCAAAAGACGAGCTTCTCAGTGAAATCATTGGACAAGACGAGCCCGATAAAGGGGATGTCACGGTCGGGGTGGTTTGAGGGGAGTTGCATGGTGTTGGCCACCATTGCTACTAGGATCCCCATAACTATCGCCACCCCTAACGTCTCACGAGACATTTTGGTGTTTTTTTTATGTTTTCCTAAGTTTACTAGCTTAGACTCAACTTGCTTTGTTGTGTAACTTGTGTTGGTGAAGTGCAACTCTACAAATGTGTTTATATAGACATATAGTGGGTCCTATACACTCATGAGTCATAAGACTCATTACTTCTCCAAAATGTGCATACATATGTATATCCAGAGTAAGCATAATCGGATACCCTTAAATTTTCAAAATCGGAACTACAATGTGTTACACAAGGCTCTTCAAAATGAGGGCGCCCCCATTACTCACTGTGAGAAACGTTTTTGTTTCTCACAGTGGTAGTTTCGTAAATAAAATGTACCACTTTAGTCACGGTGGTACATTTTATTTACGAAACTGTGAGAAACAAAAACGTTTCTCACAATGAGTATCAAAGATTTACTGCTTCAAAATGACTGGCCCTTATGTACCCGACGCCATCTCTCATACCTTCTCTTTTTAGATAAATTGCAAACTTGCAGGTACATTTCTTATAAATCGTGATACACCAGTTGTGAATAACGTTGGATTAAATTATTATATCATTGTCAGAGTATTTAGAAAAAATATAAAGAACAATGCCTTTAAATGATTAGGCGATTAGCTTTGATTATTAGATTAAATATTAAAAGTACATGATGCTTTTCTCATATGCTTTAGGAAAATTTGAAATTCAAATACCACTAACTATTGTTCACGTTTTAGTAATTACCACTTTAAGTTTTTTATTTTGTACATTACCACCTACTTTTCTTAAAAACATATAAAAAAAAACTCCCACTACTTTTCCCAAACCCCTCTAAATGACATCACCGTGGGTCTCACTACCAATTGAATATACTCTTATGTTTTCATTCTGTTAAATATCTCATTTGATAAATACATTTGCTAAGATACAATTTTGATCATTAATATTTTTAGGTTTATTTTCAAAAAACCACCCAAAAATGTGTTGAATTTCTAACTAACCACCCAAAAAAAAAATTTATTTTAAAATACCACCCATTAAATTAATTTTTTGCTCAGATTCCCACCCAATTTGAAAATACGGTGGTTTTTTAGCTTGTGGGGCCCAGTTTAGTTATTTCCCTTTTTTGTTTTCCCTTTTCTCTCGACTTCACTGTCTTTCACTCTGTTTCTCATTCAATTCTCCCAACTAACCCTATTCAACAATCAAATTTCACTCCTTTTTTCAGCGAATTCCCCCTTTCTTCATAAATTGCTGTGCATTGTTCAATTCAGAACCCTAAATTCGACATTAAAACCCTAATTGTACTTGCAACAGGAATTAATCTAGAGTAATTGCTTGAAGTGGGGTTGTTTAATTGCAAAAAAGTCGCCATCTTTTGCTGTTTACTGGGGACCAGGAGCTTAGGTGAGGAACCTGACAATAGCTCAGTGCAATGGCGTCGAAAGAGGTAAGCAGTTTTGTTGTTTGTGTTTAATGTTGAAGGTTGTTGGTTGTTGATGGTATATTTGCAATTATGTGGAAAGTTAGGGTTGTTTGTGTATTTGATTGAGTTATGTATTCTATTACTGTAATTGTTGTTGAATTATTTAATTAGGGATGTACTTAGGAGAGTGAATTAGGCGAATTGTTTACTACTGCTATGTGTAACAAAGTTGCATTTTTTGTGCATGTGAATTGTGTTGAAAGTGCATAATTTTGCTTTATACAATGAACAGGTTGTTGCTGATGTTGATTATGTAGCTGTTAAGGTTAGACTAGGGGGGGTGTTTGTGAACAAAAAAATAAAGGGGAAGACATTATGTGGGTATGAGGGTGGCTTTGAATATTGGAGGTACAAGTGTAAAGTTAGTGAGATGTCTGTGAACTTTGTTAGGGAATCTTGCATTTGGGGCTTTGTGAAGTTAGATATGCATGTGCCAAGGCTGTTCAATGTTTGGTATAAGATAAAGGGGAGGACTTGGTCAAGTGGGAAAAAGGAGATTGTGAGTGACAGTGATGTCCAAGGCTTGCTAGAGACAATAAACAAGGATAAGGTTGTTATAGTTTATTGTACTAGCCCTGAAGTGAGTATTGTACAACCCACCCAAAAAACAAAAGTCAAACCTAAGCCCAGTGAAGTGAGGAGGAGCCCTAGGTTTAAGCAGCAGTTGGCAATTAAAGACAAAGAGGAGGCAGAAAAAACCAGCAAAGGGGTAGACAGGTTTGATGAGCATACTGAGAACACCACCACCAAAAAGAAACTGTTCTCTGACAGTGTGAAAGGGAAGAACAAATTGGGTGAAGAGGAAGGTACTTCTAGGCAAACAGGGAAGAAGGGAAAGGGAAAAGCAAAAGGGAAAAGGAAGAAGAAGTGTAAGAGTGAGGTGGACTTGGAATCAGACTTTGGATCTGATTCATCAAACTCTGATACTACCATAGAGTGGGAAGTTGGGGAAGAAGAGGGGGATTTTGAGGAGGGGGAGTTTCAAGATCTATATGACAGTGTGGGCAAGATATTAGCAGAAGTGAATGCTAGTATACAATGTGTGCAAGATGACAGTGATAAAGAGTTGCAGCTCCCTGAGTACAACCTTGAGAGTGAACTGTTGAAATGAGGTTGCTGTAGAGAGAGAGTTTACATCTGACTCTGAGGAGTTGGATAGCCCTAGAGGTTCTGATGAGGAGCAAGACAATTGCCCAACTTTCCATCCACAGACTGACTTCAAAAAACCCATTGAATTGGTCAAAGGTCTGAAGTTCCAGAACAACAAAATTCTGAGGAGAGTGTTAAGGGTTCATGCTATTCAGAATAGGTATGAGTATTGGTATTTGCACAATGACAGTACCAAAGTAACTATTCAGTGCAGAAGGAGGTGTCAGTGCAAGTGGAATGCTAAGAAGTGTAAGCTACCTAAGTGTACTTGTGTAGGGGGGAGAAGATGTCACTTTAGGGTAGTTGCAAGGAGGTCTGTGAACCAAGACTGTTGGAAGATTAAGAGTCTGAATTTGAAGCACAAGTGTTTCAGAGTTAGGAGCAATTTAAACCTAACTGCTGAATTTTTAGCTGAGAAGTACCTTGAGGATTGGAGAAGTGATCCAGGCTGGAAAATAAAGAGCTTCAGGAGGAGGGTGCTAGGTGACACTGGCATTGAAATTACATACAGCAAGGCTTGGATGGCTAGGGCTAGGGCTAAGTTGCTGATATATAGATCAGCAGCAGAGCAGTATGCTAAAGTTTGGGACTATGGGAAGGCTATCATTAAGTATAGCCCTGGTACTGTGTGCAATGTTGTAGTAGAAGGAGTTGACCAGCCTGAGCCTCCTCAATTCCTGAGAATGTTCATTTGCCTTGCACCTATGGCAAGAGGTTTCCTGTCAGGCTGCAGACCACTGATTGGAGTTGATGGGTGCCATCTGAAAGGCCCTTATCCTGGTCAAATACTAGTTGCAGTTGGTAAAGATGGCAATAATAACATATATCCTATTGCCTGGGCAACAGTTGAGATTGAGAACACACACACTTGGGTGTGGTTCTTAGAGAGTTTAATGAAAGCCTTAAAGGATGAAAATCAAGGCCTTGGTTTTACCTTTATGTCTGATAGGCAAAAGGTATACTCCTAAACATTGCATTTATTTTTATGTTATTCTAAAGATTCATTATTCTAAAGGCCTTGGTTTTTTTTTTAATAGGGTTTACTAGAAGCTATGGAGCAGGTGGTGCCTTATGCAGACAAAAGGTATTGTGTGAGGCATATATGGGCAAACTTCAAGCTACAATTTAGTGGTGCAACTTTCAAGGAGTTGTTCTGGTCAGCAGCTAGGGCAACAACTTTGGTATGTTTCTACATTGTTATGGGTGTTTAACTGATTAAATCTATGTGTCTGTGTTGTATATCTATGTGTCTGTTTTATGTGTTTTTATGTTGTCTTACTATGTGTATTTGATGGATGTGTGTGGTGTTTCTTGCTTAGTTTGACTTTGAAGTGGCAATGGAATCAATTAAGTTTCTGTCTGAAGAAGCATATGAATATCTAGCTGAGATCCCAGCTCAACACTGGTCCAGACATGCATTTAGTCCATTCCCAAAGTCTAACATGTTGCTCAACAATGTATGTGAGACTTTTAATGCGGTCATCAAAGAAGCAAGGGATAAGCCAATTTTGACTCAGATGGAGTGGCTTAGGAGGTACATGATGAGAAGGAACCATGAGAAATGGGAGAGTTATCAGGAAATGGAAGATAAGGTTGTTCCTTATGTGAAGAAGACATTTGAAAGGATAGAACCTGCTACTAGACATTGCATTGTGTAATGTTCAAGGGGTCATACTTATGAGGTAGAGTTGAACTCAGACCTAGTGACAGTTGATCTCAGCAAACAAACATGCTCATGCTACCACTGGGAGCTAACATACATCCCATGTGTGCATGCATATGCATGCATCATGGACAAGAGGGCTGACCCTGAAGATTATGTGGATGATGCATATCTTGTGTCCACTTATATGCTTGCACACAGGCACGAAGTGGCAGCTATGCCTGGTCCACATCACTGGGAGAAGGTGAAGCTGAGGCAACCTCTGCCACCAGCAGTAAAAATTCAGCCTGGGAGGCCAAAGTCAAAAAAGAGAAAGTTGGAGAAAGGGGAAGTGGTTGGTGGTAACCAGCAAGAGCAGCAATATTTGAAAAGGAGGAGCACTTGCAAGAACTGTGGGCAATTGGGACACTATGCTAAGACATGCAAAAACCCACATGTGGCTCCTGTTGCTGTCTCATCCCCAAAAAAAGAAGGAGGAAGACCTGTTGTGCACAGTGAATGGGTGAATGACCAGAGGAAGAAGAAAGCAGAAAGAGCTTTGAAAGAGGTACAAAATATCCTACATAGCAGTGATTTAGGGTTAGATGTGTTTATTGAGAAGTGTCATCCTAATTACTGTTAATTTGGCTGTGTAGAGTGCCCTTGGTGGTACACCAGGACCCAACAGTATTGCTAATAGGAGGTTCCCTCAGGAAGAGCAGCAGAAGAAGCAGCACACTACTCAGCAGTCTCAAAGTCAGCAGACTCTGCATCAAGAGCAGCCTCAGAGTCAGCATCAGTAGAGTCAGCAACAACAGCAGACTGACCACCATCAGCTGAGCCAGCTCACTCAAGCATCAGTAACAACATCTCCCACTACCTCAGCCAGACCACCCAGAACCAAGATGAAGCCTCTTAGACTTAGGAAGTAGGCTGTTAGCTCAGAGCAGCCTCTTAGAATTAGGAAGTACCTTCTGTTGACCCATATATTTGATTTTGCCAAATGTAATTTGATGTGGCTGTATTTTTATATGAGCTACAAGACAGTTTAAGTATTAGTATTTTGGACATAAGTGGTTGGATTGTTAATTGAGTCCCTTATGTTTTGAATTAGACAATAGCACTGACATAGTGCATTATTAGTTGAAATATATGGGTCATTTTGCTGGTTTTTTATACCATTTGCATAGTTATTCAGTTGCTGGTTGTTTAAACCCATTGCATATTTATTCAGTTGGTGGTATTTTAAACTAACAACAACAATAAGACAAACTAAAACAAGTTTTTTTCATTGATAGCATAATAGTACCATTACAAATACTTTTTCTTTAACACCACCTCCCACTTAAACCATTTTATTCATTACAAGATAACCTAGGACAACCAACAAAACAGAACACAACACAACTAAATAAACTTGGAGCTTGTTGTCACAACCACTGCTTCTGATCAATTTCTTCCTATCACCAGTGAGGGCCTTGCATTTCAGTTGTAAGGTGTCAACCTCATTAAGCAAACACCTTCTCTGGCCAGTCAAGTCATCCACATCCCTTTTTAAAGAGTTGATTTCACCTTTCATCAACTTTTTGTCAAGGAGCAGTTGGTTAATGACAACTCTTTGCCAATCAGTACCATCTTCATTGTCCACCCATTCAAAAGCCTTGCACCCCCTTGTTTCAGTATTAGGGTCATATAACTTGCAAGCCAAAAATTTCCTCCCAGGGTTCTCATTTGTCCAAGAAGTCAATTTTGCTAAAGGTAATCCACAATTTCATTTCCTCTGGTTTGTGGGAGATGAGTTATTCCATGACATCTTCATCCCTGCAATACAGCATAACAGTACTCAGTTAGTTTAACAATTTACATCAACTAAACAAAGATTCAACCACATTAACATATCCTCAGGCACACATACTCACTGTGGTGGTTGCGCTCCATAATGAGGGTAACCAGGGGGGGCCATGTACCATTCTGTTTCATCCTGTACTCTAACATACAGTCAGCCAAAAACCCAAGATCATCTGTGGTCCCAACATGTATGGTGTACACCTCCTTATTAGGTAACCTCCTAATCATCTTGAACACATCCCCATCATCTTCTAAATTCCTAAACTTCCCTTTATACACATACTGGAATGTAGGGTGCAACAGTTCAACTGATCCTTCTAATGGATCATCCATCTCACGAAGTTGATCATCAAATTCTATAGCTGTATCCAACAAGTTACTTCTGCCTACTTCATATTCAATGTCTATAGTTACACTTAAATATTTAAATCTGAGAACAATCTTATTCTCCTCCATTTCTACCACAACAATTACAACAACAAACAAACACAAAGAACAAGGTTACAAATAAAGCAAACTTAACTGTAATTGAAAGGAAAAACCACAATTCAGTACTACCACATACCCTAATTGACAAAGTATCTCAATTAAATCGTGTATATGTAAAAACCCTAATTAATGAATCCCACAAATTCCCCCAATTAACATTTTGCAAGAACCCTAATTTTTCCAGATAATTGAGATTACCTTGTGCGAATTCAAGTGATGTCGTTGCTGCAGATGCAAATGCAATTAGAAGCAAGCTTAATTTTGTGTAATTTGGGGAAAAATTTTGTTTAGGAGCAAAAATTGAATAAGGAATACACTTTTATAGGAAAAATCGGGGGAAGCAAACAAATAAAAGCATAAACTAGCCGTTATGTGGGCCCCACAAGCTAAAAAACCACCGGATTTTCAAATTGGGTGGGAATCTGAGCAAAAAATTAATTTAATAGGTGGTATTTTAAAATAAATTTTTTTTGGGTGGTTAGTTAGAAATTCAACACATTTTTGGGTGGTTTTTTGAAAATAAACCATATTTTTAATATTATGTTGACATGTTATGTAACTTGTGTTGGAGAAGTGCAACTCTACAAATATGTTTATATAGACATATAGTGGGTCCTATACACTCATAAGTCATAACTCATAAGACTCATTACTTCTTCAAAATATGTATACATATCTATATCCAGAGTAAACCTTAAATTTTCAAATTTTCAAACATAGTTACATAATGATCTTCAAATTGACTCCCTTACGTACCCGGCCCCATCTCTCATACCTTCTTTTTTGAGATGGATTGCAAATTTGCAGGTACATGTCTCATGAATCGTGATACACGAGTTGTGAATAACGTTAAGCTCCATTATTTAGTTGCTTTCATTTCCGGACTGTAGTAGCAAAATGTCATCATATACTATTGTCAGAGTATTTAGAAAAAATATTAAGAACAATGCCTTTAAATGAAGAACTTTGATTATTAGATTAAATGTTAAAAGTGAAAATAGGATAGTACACCATGGTGCATCCGAAAGGCGGAAAGAACATACGTTTGTTTAATAAAGAACATAATGTGTTTGACAAAGGATATACTTATGTTTGACAAAGAACATACCCATATATGTTTGATAATATGTTCTTTTATACTTATGTTCTTTAACATATGTTGATTAAACATGTTTTTTGGGTTTTCAATAATACAAAGTATGTTCTTTGAATTTGGCTCGTAAGTTCTTTGAGGTACGTAACGAGTGACACACAAATTCTTTTTTGAATTATCATATATCATTTTTTTATTATCGTATATTCTTTGAGTTTGATTAGTGTGTTCTACGGGTATGAATTATATGTTCTTTACATTATAACTTATGTTCTTTTAACATAAGTTATTTTGAATTTATAAATTTAATTTGAAAATGAAATCTTGAATTTTTTTAGTTAAAAATATTTTAGAGAGAGAAAACTAAATAATTATGGAAATTTGAATTTTTGGAGAAAGAAAAAACTATTTTTGGGGATATGATATCTTTGGTAAAAAAAATTTCGTTAATGAGTAATTTTTTATAAAATTTTAATAAAGTTTTTATCACGTTCTTTTTGTAATGTTTTTATGTTCTTTAATAATGAATGTTCTTTGTTAAATACAAACATATTCTTTTTCAAAAACCTACATGTTCTTTTTCAAACACCTAAATGTTCTTTTCGCCTTTTTTTTAAATAACCAGGTGCACCATGTGCATGGTGCACCCGGGTGCACAGATCACGCATTATGTTAAAAGTACATTATGCTTTTCTCATATGCTTTAGGAAATTTTGAAATTAAAATACTACCAACTAATTCACGTTTTAGTAATTACCACCTCAAGTTTTTTTTATGTATATTACCACCTATTTTTCATAAAAAAATAAATAAAAAAAAATTCCCACCACTTTTCCCAAATCCCCCTAAATGACGTTACCATGGGTCCCACTACCAATTGAATATACTCTTTATGTTTTCATTCTGTTAAATATCTCATTTTGATAAATACATTTGCTAAGATACAACTTTAATCATTAATATTTTTAATATTATGTAGGTTACAATTATAATTTTAAATTTTGATATTATAAATGTATATATTGTGACTAATTTAGCAATACTACATGCATAACATGTATACTTTTATATATTAGTTTTAAAAAATAAATCAAGTCAAACTAGAGAATAATAATATAAAAGTTAAAGTGATGTATATTGAAAAAAAAGGAATTATATTACTTATTCTTATAAGATAGAAATTTCATAACAAATTAGAAAGTAATATTAATGAGTTAGCCACAAACAATACCAAAAACTTTTAAGAATTAGATATAACACCTGGCCATAGATAAGGCGAAGAGATAGAAAAAACCTTTTTAGTGAGATCAAATAATTGTACTTATTAGATAGTACTTAGTCTAGAACTTTGTTTTCTAAATATATAGTTTAGTTGGATATAAGATAAAAAATAGGGATAAAAAAAATTAAGATAATGAGAAGGCAGGTATAACATGGTAGCCCATCTTGTAGCAAGATGAGATATTAATGATTGCTCAAAATTTGTTTGTATAGGTCTGTTTTCGCAGAGTCTTGAATTTTTAGCGGATTCTAATTTATAATATTACTACCTAACATTTTCCTAAGAAAAAGAAAAAAAAGTTTAGATAATGAGATAAGAAGGGTTGATGAGTAAGGTGATCATGGGTCGTGTCAAGCTTTGCCAATAAAAAATAATAGCCTATTTCGGGC